AATAAAGGCCCAATCGCTACCATTGCAAAACAAATCAAACCATGCATCTCTGGAACGACAGCTGATGCGTTAGGTTCAAGCAAATGTCATCCTTCATCGAAGTCGGCATTCATAGCAAGACAAAACTTACTTTCTGAACTCAAATACTTGGTTTGCAAATGTTGGGATTTTACTCACATTGATCCTTGAAACTGCCGCGTGCTGAGCAGCTCCCACAACTGTTGAGACCTGATCCTGGCGGTAAAAAAGCCATTATCATAGTACTTCGGCAAACGGACGTCGCGGGGGACTGCGCGCGACGCAAGAGAGGACGGGAGTTCGAGGCAAGAGGAAAACTAACATGCACACCCGGACTGGCATTTCGGAATACGATCGCTGAGACAATCCTTTCGATGATCGGGATACGGAAAGTTCAATTTCGGAATAATGATTGTTGAAGCCATGCATTCGATACGGAACGTTCGAATGTCGGAATACACGTCGGCCCAGAAGGATCCAAATTCCGACACAGAATATCGGGAGATCCATACGGGATTCGGCTAGTTGTGGGATTTGGGCATTCAAATCTTGATTTAATTTCTGGTAAGATCGGGGCACTCAAATCTAGATTTGAATTTTTTGACTTGTACACGAATACGATTGAAACACCCATTCTGACCCGGGCAAATCTCAAGCCCCCTCTCTGGAACCGAATCCGAATTCTCCGTTGCCCGCCACTGCTACGGCAGGCCCAGGCCACATCGTCGGAAGCTGAGAAATCAGGAACCTGAATGATCCATCGCCGACCAATAGGCTCTCTCTCCGGAAACGAACGCCGGTTCGCCTGCAATTGCCGCGGCGGGCCAATGTCGCGCCGTCGGCAGCTGATACGTCAGATATTTGAATGAATGACCGCTACCGACGCTACCGAACTGCACCGATTGATCGCCACCGCAATCCTCGCGAGAAGATGCTCAGAAATCCCCCCGCGAGCAGGATGCCCCACATGGGGCATTCCGCCAGAGAAATAACACCCGACAGTATCCAGCCCGCCCAGCCGTGGAGGGAAACGAATCCCACGTCGCCGCGCGCGCCGATCAGGCGCTGGCCGGAGGTACGCCGGCGGCGCTAGGACGGCGAGCTCCAAACTTGCATACCAGAACGGAGCAGTTTCTTCAACTGCAATCCCAATGGAAGGACGCCCATAAGCCCTCCCGCGAGCACCGTAAACGTAGCCCACAGCGGATTAGCGCTCTGGAAAATTAACCCACTAACGTTATCCCGCCCACCCAGCACTAGAATGCAATTAATTCATCCCACGTCGCCGCGCGCGCCGGCCAGGCGCCGGCGGGAACTTTGACGGGCTGTGCTAGGCGGGCGAGTTCGAGCATACTCTCAGACCAAAATGAAGCACCTGTCCATTGCAATCCTCGCGGGAAGCTGCGCTCAAACACCCCCGCGCGCACGGTGAGTAGCCTGCGGTGGGGATAGTCCGCTGGAGAAACAACCTCCGAACATGATCCATCCCGCCCAACAATACAGGGAAACTAATCCCACGTCGCCGCGCGCGCCGACCAGGCGCCAGCTGGAGTTCCAGCGGCGGCAGTGGGCTGGCGAGTTCGAGCAAACTCGCATATCAAAACGAAGCGCTGTGGAATCCCAAGGGAAGGATGCTCGCAAATACTCCCGCGTGCAGCGTGGCCCACAATGGGTTAGTCCGCTGGAGAAATACCCCCCAACATTTCCCAGCCCACCCAACAATAGGGAGGACATCATGCCCCCACGTCGCCACGCGCGCCGACCAGGTGCCGACGGGGGTCTTGCCGAGCTGTGCTAGTCAGGCGAGATTGAACAAACTCCCGGACCAAAACGAAACACCTGTTTATTGTCATCCTCATGGAATGATGCTCACACATCCCCCGCGCGCACGGTGGCCCACCATGGATTATCCCGCTGGAGATATAACCCCCAAACATGATCCAATCCGCCCAACAAATAAGGGAAAACTAATCCCACGTCGCCGCGCGCGCCGACCTGACGCCAGCCCGAGTCCTGCCAGCGGCACTAGGCAGGCGAGTTTGAGCAAACTTGCGAATCAAAACGACTGGCCAACTTACGAATCTGAACGAAGCGCGCTTGCCTTGCAATCCTCATGAGAGGATGCTCACAAAACCTCCCGCGTGGAAGATGGCCCACAGTGGAGTATTCTGCTGGAGAAGCAAAGCGCAAACAATTTCCAGCCCGCCCAACAACAAGTGGCACGCGTGCCCTGGCTCTTGCACAATCAGGGGCTCACGCTCAGGGGGGGGCCGAGGGGGACGAGCCACCACGAGCCACGACGAAAAAAAGCGGCACGCGTGCCCTGGCTACTGCACAATCAGGTATCGAAGGACGGGGGGAGGCCGGGGATGGGAGCACGAACGACGAGCGAAGGACGAAGGATGCTGATGAGGAGTGCAAGGACGAGGAAGTCTGGGTAGTGGGGAAAAGGGCTTGACCTCCTGCCAGCTTGTTTTTTCGAATAGCTGGGCTTCCGTCACATCCAAGAGTGTGGGTGACACGCGGGGGAGGTGGCTGGGGCGCCGACCCAGGGCCAGAGGGGGGGCTGGGGCGGGGGCCAGGGCCAGGGACGAACCACGAACAAGGGGGCTGGTGCTTCGACCCAGGGCCAGAAGGGGGGCTAGGGTGGGGGCACCAGGAACCACGAAACACGACGAAAGTCAATGGCTCCGGGGCCAGGGTGGCTGGTGCTCCAGGGCCATGGGGGCTGGGGCCTCGACCCAGGGCTCGAGCAAAGGGGAGAGCGGGAAGGAGATACTGGGGCCTCGACCCAGGGCCAGAAGGGAGGGAGCGGGAGCCAGGGCCAGGGACGAACCACGAACGAATCACGAACCACGACGAAAATAAAACATAGCTGTGAAAGAGAATAAAGGGTTCCGCGGCCCAGGGGGGCTGCCCTGGGAAGCCTGGACGGAGGGGAGGTCCCAAGGGGTGGTGGCCCAGGGGGGGTGCCGAGGGGGACGAACCACCACGAACCACGACGAAAATAAAGGGTTCCGCGGCCCAGGGTGGCTGCCCTGGGAAGCCTGGACGGAGGGGGGGTCTCAAGTGGGGGTGGCCCAGGGGAGCTGGGGCTCAGGCTCAGGGAAGGGGCCGAGGGGGACGAACCACGACGAACCACGAACCACGACGAAAATAAGGATGTCCGCGGCCCAAGGGGGGCTGTCCTGGGAAGCCTGGACGGAGCAAGCCTCCGAAGGGTGGGTGGCCCAGGGGAGCTGGGGCTCAGGCTCAGGGAGAGGCCGAGGGGGACGAACCACCACGAACCACGAACCACGACAAAAATAAAAATGTCCTAGACGGAAGGGGGGGGGGGCCAGGGGAGGGGTGGCCGCGGCCCAGGGGGCTGCCCTGGGAAGGGACGGAGGCCGAAGGCCCAGGGGAGCTGGGGCTCAGGCTCAGGGGAGGGGCCGAGGGGGACGAACCACGAACCACGACGAAAAAAGGATGTCCGCGGCCCAGGGGGGCTGCCTGGGAAGCCTGGACGGAGCAAGCCTCCGAAGGGTGGGTGGCCCAGGGGAGCTGGGGCTCAGGCTCAGGGGAGGGGCCGAGGGGGACGAACCACCACGAACCACGACGAAAATAAAGGGTTCCGCGGCCCAGGGGCTGCCCCACGAGGGGGGGTCTCCCAGGGGGGGTGGCCGGGGGGAGAACCCACCACGAACCCGACGAAAATAAAGGGTTCCGCGGCCCAGGGTGCCCCAGCTCCCCTGGGCCACCCCCCCCTTGGGACCCCCCCTCCGACTAGGAGATTTTTATGTTTGTCGTGGTTAGTGGTTCGTGGTGGTTCGTCCCCCTCGGCCTCTCCCTGAGCCTGAGCCCCAGCTCCCCTGGGCCACCCACCCTTCGGAGGCTTGCTCCGTCCAGGCTTCCCAGGACAGCCCCCCTTGGGCCGCGGACATCCTTATTTTCGTCGTGGTTCGTGGTTCGTCGTGGTTCGTCCCCCTCGGCCCCTTCCCTGAGCCTGGGCCCCAGCTCCCCTGGGCCACCCCCACTTGAGATCACTTGAGACCCCCCCTCCGTCCAGGCTTCCCAGGGCAGCCGGCCCTCTTGGGCCGTTTTGGGGGCCTCTTGGGAGCCTCTTGGGCCGTCTTGGGGCGGTCTTGGGGGCCTCTTGGGCCGTCGTCAACGCCGTGAAAGCCGACAAAGCGCATATGCTAAAGATATACGTTTCCTCTGGAAAATCGATGATTTCGGCCACTTGGGGCCCTCTTGGGACGCCCCTTGGGCGCCTCTTGGGGGCCTCTTGGGGGCCTCTTGGGCCGTCTTCGGCGGTCTTGGGCTCTCTTGGAGCGCTCTTGGGCCGTCTTGGGGGGGAACCCGACAAACATGCAAAAACCCCAGGGAAAACCCGAAAACGGCCATTAACACCCAAATGCGCACGCTACCCCCCTCCCCTGGAACCCCTCCCTTTAGGGCTTCGCCCACACCAGAACGTCATCATTCGTACCTCGCTCTTTCCGTTATACCGTTAGATCCGCAGACCCTTCTGCGTGCGTGAGACACTTTTCCGTTTGAGTCGTCGTCGTCGTCGTCGTCGTCGTGGTCGTCGTCGTCGGCTTCGTCGCCGTCGTCGTCGTCGTCGTCGCCGTCGGCGTCGCCACGACCCCAGCCCCGGCCCCAACAGAGCCCAAGAGGCTCCCAAGAGAGCTCCAAGAGAAGCACCAGAGCGTCAGGTCGTCGTCGTAGCCGTCCCAATACATAGGCAGACCGATAGAGGTTGTTCGAAGGATGGAGACAGCTGCCAGGATGGCTGTCCCGTCGCTGCTTCCACCACCACCCACCCCCAACCTACTCATCGGCATTTGGCTCGTCGTGTGGGTATGAATGTACTTGGGCCCCAGGGGGGCCGCCCTTATCTGTATCCACCGACTGCTGAGGTCCCCGAAGATCGATCCCCCAGGCGGCGGTTCTGGATAAGCTCCCCCTGGGAGGGGGCCGGGCAGAAGCGCGAATGTGTCCTGCGATATTGTGACATGCAGAGACTCAGAGGTTATGTCGCCCTCTGAGATGACGTAGATGTCCTCTGAAGACCAGCGGCGGGTAAGGATATGGAGCAGTGCGGGTGATGAGAAGGAATGTAGCGCTTCGCGAAGCGACCAACAAAGTGCAAGGAAAAGAGCACACATGCTTGTCAAAAATACCCCTCAAAGCAAACATATCCGCAAGAGCTGCGCTTACGCTGTACGCATACGTGTCACTGTCTGCCTGTTCTGCCTGTCACTATGATGAATATCGCATGGCAACACACCTGTGCATTCGCAACGTTCGTGTCTTTCGTTTCTACTGCGTCGCTATGACTGTGCTACCCCTCAGTGCGAAAGGCAGACTGTCCACTGGGATCAGCAATGTACACAGAATGCTGACAGTCAGCGATAGCACCACGGTAACGCATGCCAAGCCATAAGACCTACGGTACCATCATGCAATGTTGAAAGCGTGGTTATGCAAAAATCGCGTCGGTCCCAACGCACACATCCCGTCAGCCACTTCCAGCTTGGAGCTTCAGCCTTCCCGACCACAGTCTGCCCAAAAGCTCGCCATCGCTCGGACGTCCATTCCCCGTGCATGCTTCGGCATCGTGCGTGTATTCTCTTGCAAGATGATCCAAAAGGCTCCTCGATGGTCCTCGCCGAGAAGGTGCATACGTTCAAGCGATGCGAAGAAGATACCATCCAACATGAAGGCAACACTTCTGGACACCATGGGCAGCATCAAGCCCGCATCGAAAACGCGTTGGCTGAATCTAGGCCCTCGGAGCTCTCGCGAAAAATCCCGCTGCTTCCTGGCATCCGGGGACCAGGCACACGGCGCCCGAGGCTCTCACTGCGCCCCACCCAGGGGTCCACCAAGGAGGAAGGCCAAAGTCCAAAAATCAGATCCACAACCTGCACGCCTCCCCAGTCGGTGTTCGTCTGTCCTCCTCTCATCTCCTCTCGGGCAAGATTCGAACCCACGGATAAGCAATGGCACGGAGGGCTGAAAACCGCCAACTCTGTCGCACAGGCGCACGATCCCTCTTCTCTGCGTTTCGGCGCACGGCGGACGCCAACTGACCCGCAGTATGAACCTGAGCGCTGGGCCTCGATCATCGCGCTATGTCGGCAGCCGAGAAGGACGCCTCACACCATGCATCTTCTCCACTCCACCTCCACCACACGTCTCACAGGCAGCTTGAAAGAATACCGCCTACACTTGGCTAAAACGACACACGATTGCACGAAGGACTCTCTGGACACGAATTGCTTCCACCTGGAAGAGACAGGACGGCACCAAATGGCCCTAGAGCTCCCCTCAGAGAACCATGAGGCCTGCAAGACGGCACCAGACGCCCCAACAGGGCCTCGACGGAACCGCCCGACAGCCAAAACCACCGAAAAGCCCGACCTGTCTTCAAGATTCTTCAAGTGCTTCGTAGCTCCAACACGCTTCTCGGGACAAATCCCGCAGTCGATCCTCCCACAGCAAAAACTGCCGGCGAGGGGGAGGGAGAGAGAATGAGAAGCAGGCAAACAACAAACGACAACCTAGGCGCAGGCGGGAGGCCAGGAACGGCGGGACGAAGCGGAAAGCCAGCTTCGTGGCTTCCAGGATTTCTAGCCCAAGATGGCTCCAGAAGGCCTCGGAGAAGACAGCCCAAGCTCAAAGACGGCACCAAGACGCCATTGGAAATAGCTGGGGGGTGCCATTGGAAATAAGGGAGGGTGCCATTGGCAAAAGGGGGGAGAGGGGGGGCCACTGGAAATAAGGGGGTGCCATTGGAAAAAGGGGGGGCTAAAGACCAACTACGTATGATGAGCTAGGAGTCCTACAGGGCAAGCCGATTTGGAGAAAAATGCACCTCGCGGATGAATCTGGATCATGCGCAGCCACCCCGCGATCACGGTGAAGTGATTCTTGACAGGGACGGCGGGGGTGGTGGCGTATGGCATGACAAAAAAGGTGGGGGCCGACATGTTTCCCGATGTGTGATGTCATGTGCGCAGGCGCACGTTATGCACGTGCCCCGAACGTGGCGCACCTGGAGCGGCTGGAGCATGCAGCACACCTGGCGCACGTGAAGCACGTGGCGCATCTGGTGCGCCAGACGTTCCTGGCACTCTCGGGCCCCAGCGTCGCGCAGATGTGGTCGGTTTGGGTTTCCAGTAGCTGCCCATCCAAAGACGAGCGCTGAACATGCTGAGGCTCGGGTGTTGTTACTTATGTGTTGGGAGGGCGGGCGGGAGTAAGCTACACGGCTTGCTATCTAGGAGGGTGCGTTGACCCCTCCCCCTACCCCCTCCCCGGGACCTGGGATTGGGGGGCCGCGGGTAGTTAGAGCCCCCACGGTGGCTCCAAGAGGGCCTCAGAAAGCCCAAGAAGGCATCCAAGATGGCTCCAGATACCTGAAGATGGTTCGAGATAGCTTCCGACACACATCAAAGAGGCCTCAAGACGGCACCAAGACGATTCAAGTGCGCCCCGAGCCCTCCAAGACCACCCCAAGAGGCCCAAATTCTTCAAAACCCAAGGAAAGCTACTCGCATAAGAATATGTTTAGCTTGCCCCTCGATGTTTCCTCTTCGCCCTGGCGGAGGCCCTCCTCCCGCCCTCTGTCGCGCCTCCTCCTCCTCCTTTTCTTCCTCCTCATCCTCCTCCTCCTCCTCCTCGTCCTCCTCCTCCGTCCCCTCCTTCTCGTCCTCCTCGTTCCATGTCTTTTCCTCCTCCTCATCCCCCCCTCCTCCTCCTCTTTGTCCTTTCTTCCTCCTCCTCCTCGTCCTTTTCTTCCTCCTCCTCCTCGTCCTCCTCCTCCTCATCCTCATCCTGGTCCTCCACCTCTTCCTCTTTCTCCTTATCCTCATCTCCATCCCACCTGTTCTCCTCATGCACCTCTCTTTCCTTCTCGCTGAGGCACGCATGCCAATTTCCCTCGGCACCCTCGCTGCCACGGCCAGAAGGGGCGCGTTCTCCGATGGCCGGTAGATGTTTCCGATAACCCGCTCGGATTGCCAACGTGAAGTGCGGACCATATGGGGAGGGGGCTCCCGCCTGAGACCTACCCACAATTCACTCACAAACGAGGCCCCCGTTCGAGACATCCTTCCGATTTGCTCCCTCGGGGTGCTCAAATGGTACGCCTCGTAAATGATTCCGCACGGACTCGAACGTGCAGTGCAGGCCACATAACGAGGGGGCTCCCGCCTGAGAAGTCCTCGCAGTTCACTCACAAACGAGGCCCCCGTTCGAGGCATCACCACTGTTTGTCCCCTTGGGGTGCTCGAATGCTAGGCCTGGTATATGATTCCGATGACCCGCTCGGATTCTAACATGACGTGCGGGCCCCATAGGGAGGGGGCTCCCGCCTGAGACTTCCTCGCATGTTACTCACAAGCGTGGCCCCCACTCGAGACATCCTCACGATTTGCCCCTCCGGGGAGCTCGAATGGAATGCCTGGTAGATGATTCCGATGACTCGCTCGGATTGATAACATGAGCTGCGGGCCCCATCGTGGGCCCCTCGCAATTCACTCACAGACGAAGCTCCCGCCTGAGCCTTCCTCCGTACTCGAGCTTGAAGAGGCCAAAAGTGACCACTGTTACAAGAGTCCGATGACCCGCTCGGATTAATAACAGAAGCTGCGGGCAACACAGGGAGGGGCTCCGCTCACAAACGAGGCTCCCACCTGAGACTTCCTCCATACTCAAGCTTGAAGAGGCCAAAAGTGACCACAGTTACAGGATTCCGATGACCCACTCGGATTCATAACATCAGTTGAGGATCCCATTGGGGGGCTCCCGCCTGAGCCATCCTCGCAATTCACTCAAAGACGAGGCTCCCGCTTGGTCGATGATCATGATGGAATGGTGATAGAGATGACGATGGTGGTGTGCGATTGTGTAGATGATGGCGACGATGAAGGTGACCGATGACCATGACGGGATCATGACATGATGATGGTGGTGCTTGTGATGATGATGATGCTGCTGATGATGATGATGTTGATGTTGATGATGGTGAATACAATGATGATGATCATGATGATGATGATGATGGTGATGATGATGATGGTGATGATGATGATGATGGTGACGGTGATGGTGATGGTAATAGTGATGGTGGTGGAAGCAATAAGGATGTTGATGATGATGATGATGACAATGGTGGTGATGGTTATGATGATGATGATAATGATGGTGATGCCGATGGTGATGGTGATGGTGATGGTGATGATGATGATGTTGATGATGATGATGATGATGATGATGATGATGATGATGATGATGATGATGATGATGATGATGATGATGATGATGTGGTGGTGGTAGTGATGGTGGTGGTGGTGGTGGTGTGTTATTGTTCCTGCGCGGGGTGTCCAGAGAAAACGAGGTCCAACTTAGGATGTGGCGAGCATGTTTGGTTGCGGGCTCGCCTTTCCGCTTCCGATAGGCTCTGGAGGCCTCAAGATAGCCCCAAGATGGCCCAGGAGAGCCCACACAGGGACCCAAGAGCGCCGCAAGAGGGCCCCGAGAGCGCCAAGAGTGCCCCAAGAGCGCCCCAAGAGAGCATCAAGATATCATGCTTGAGCTTCCAGGGAGGGGGGGGGGGGGGGCTCAATCCTCCCCCACCCGTTTTGAACCATGGGGTCCAGACTGCCCCAAGAGGCCCCCCAGACCCCTCCAAAGAGCCGCTCCAAGAGGGCCCCCAGACCCCCGAAAAGAGCCCCAAGAGGGCCCCAAGAGTGCCTTAAGTGGCTCCACGAAGGCCCCAAGGAAGATCCAAGTCGGCACAAATATACCTCCGAGAAAACACTTCCAAGGCGGTTGTTACGCTGCATGCTTCTACACTTCCCTGATCAAGGCAACTCGCCTGGCGCTCTGTTTCTGGATGGGCTGGTGGGGATGCTTTTCGGTCGCGGCCGCAAGCGAAGAGGCAGGCGGCGGGCAGAGAGTCCGGGACAACGGGCAAGCCTAATTAGCTACAAGAGGCGCACAAGCCGGCCGGCCCACTCACAAAGCAGCCGCGAGGCAGTGGGGAGACTGACGGCGGGGGGCATCATGGGAAGTCTGGTGGCGATGCGCGAAGCATCAAGAATTTGAGATCTAGCCTCACCCTCAGATTTAGCAGAGCTGGCGTATTCGCCCTCGCTATGTAGCCTCAGCTTGAGCGTTGAGCTCTGACTCGAGCGTTCATATTGCACCCAGAGTCATATTCACGTTCGAGTTGGTGTGAACTGACGTCTCGAACGTCGGCTGAGCTTCCAAACTCAATACTATACTTAGCTATGGATATTGCTTGAGCTGCAGTCATGGCTGCAGCTCTTGCGATATAGCCACATAGTATGGCAAGAGCTCAAAATACCAATGAAGCTGAAACATGAGTGGCAACACACAATCAACAAACAAATGGGCCGCTAGTCGAAACCGAAGTCTTACCATCTCCACGACCTGCACTCGAGCACTCATCGTTTCACCATCACTGCAGGCTCAGCCTAAATGAACGCCCTAGTAAGTTGCGCCTTGTCTCCACCTTACATGGAATGCCCGCCTGACGAGTTGCATCCCAACCCTGTTGGCTGCCTCGAAGACTGCCGATGTCTACGATCTCCTGGCTCTTGCCCCGTCCCCCGCTCCTCTCACGACATACGTTCATGCTTGCCAACCCTTCCTCCCATCAACTCCAGATCCCCTCGCTTCCCCGCCATATTCCTGATCGTCTCATACCTGCCTGCGCTGCGGCCTCAGCCCTTGCTGTAGACAGCGAGACTCCCATCGTTGTCGCCGCTCTGTGCACGCGCGATTGAGAAACCTTCCCATCAGGATCTGTAAGACGCTGGGGTTCTCTCGGGGTCGCCCTGCGTAAGGAAAGTACGTACAGCCGCGAGATTGGTAGACTCTACTGGTGCTGGCGACTGGGTTCCCATCGTTCCTCCAATATTACCAGTCCATCGTCACGCTCTGCCCCTGTCCATTTTCCTCCTTCTCCATTACTCAGAATTATCACAGCTGCTGACTCTCTCGGGTCTGCGAAGTAATGGTATATGACATAGCTCATGAGGAGCAGGCCCAACATCGCACCTGATAGGCGGCGGCATGGCTAACTTCATATACCACAGTCTGCCACAATCATCCCGTGAGCAGGCTATGTAACTATGTCATATGTATGTTCGGTTTCTGTGTGTATACCTAACTTCAAATGCAGATGTGTAGATGCATACATACCAAATCAAATACAATGTAGTACTACATGCCTCACTGAACTACATCAAGCATGTATACATGTAATCGGCGTATGTGTACGTGTACGTATGTACACATGTTTGTACGTGCGTGTGGTTGTGTCACCTCGGCCGCGCTATATCTCTAGATGTATGTACATGAACAGCTATACGTGTGGGTGTGCATGTCAATATACATGTGCATGTGTGCCGCTATGCTCATGTAAGTGTGAATGTGCGTATATCCCCCCCCCCACCACCACCACCACCACCACCACCACCCCCAGCACCCCCAAACGGCGGAGTGAGGTGGAGGAGGGGTGGTTACCCCCTCAGAGTCCTTCTCGTATGCCTCTTGTTCCTCTTCATCCTCATGGTTCCTCCTCCCCCTCATGGGGGGCATCCTCCTCATCGTCGTGCTCTTCCTTTCCCTGCTCATCGTCCTCCTCGTTCCTCTTCCCTCTCCTCCTCCTCCTCATCTTCCTACTCCTCCTCCTCCTCCTCCTCCTCCGCCTGCTCCTCCTCCTCCCTCTCCTCCTCCTCCAGGAGGGGGGGGGGAGGATGTAGGCATCCGTTCGTATTTGTTGTCATTCGCATTCCTTGTGTATTGGCTTTCGATCGGAATCCTTCTGTATTATCGTTAAATCAGAATCCGTTTGCAGAGGCGTTCATTGGGAATCCTTGTGCACTGACTTTCAATAGGAGTCTTTTTGTAGAGCTTTCAATCGGAATCCGTTTGTATTGGCTTTCACGAGGACTGTGTTTGTATTGGCTTTCATTGAAAGTCCTTGTTGTATTGGCTTTCATTGGAATTCCTTTTGTTTGGCTTTCAATCGGAATCCGTTTGCAGAGGCTTTCAATGGGAATATGTTTGTAGAGGCGTTCAGTAGAAATCCTCCTGGCTTGGCTTTCAGTGGAATCCCTTCTGCATTGGCTTTCAATGGGAATCCTTTTGTAGAGGCTTTCAATAGGAATCCTTGTGTAGATGATTTCAATAGGAATGTGTTTGTAAAGGCGTTCACTGGGAATCCTTTTCTATTGGGTTTCATTCAAATTCCTGTCGTGTTGGCTTTCAATTGGATTGATGCCCGAATCGCACAAGAGGAGGGCCGACGACCCCCCAACCCTTTCGTATTTGCTTTCAATAAGAATCCGTTTGCATTGGCGTTCAATATGAATCCTTTTGAATTGGCCTCCAATAAGAATACTTTTGCATTGGCTTTCAGTCGGGATTCTTTTGTGGTGGCATTCAATATGAACCCTCTTGTCAAGGCTTTCAATGGGAATCCTGATGTAAAGGCTTTCAACCAGAATCCTTTTTAATTGGTTTCATTCGCGTTCCTTTTGCATTGGCTTTCAAAAGGAATGCTTTTCCATGGGCTTTCAATAGGAATCCGTTTGCAGAGGCTTGCAATAGGAATCATTGTGTACAAGCTTTCAAATGGGAATCCTTTTGTAGAGCTTTCAATCGGAATCTTTTTGCATTGGCTTTCACTAGGACTCCTTCTGTGTTGGCAGTCATTGCAATTCATGTTGCATGTGTTTCAATCGGAGTCCCCTTGCTTTGGCTTTCAATCGAAATCTCTTTTAGATGCTTTCGATAGGGATCCCCTTGTACAGGCTTTTGATACGAATCCTTTTGTAAAGGCTTGGTTTTCAATAGGAATGATGTCCGAACCGCACCAGAAGAGGGCGGACGACCCCCCACCCTACAACGACTAGTTTCAGATTCGGTGTCTCCCTCTCTCTTCCCAGAGGCCACCCTAGTGAAAGCGTTCTTCTACCAGCGTTTCCAACTGTTCCCAGAGACTACCCTTGTGAAAAACGCTGTGTTCTCCAGCTGGTCCAGCTTTTCCAGCGTGTCCCATAGACTACCCTAGTGAAAAACGCTGTGGTTTCCAGATGTCCCATGTTTTTCCACGTTTTCCCAGAGACTACCCTGGTGAAAACCGATGTGGTTTCCAGCTTTTCCAGCTTTCCCAGCTTTTCCCAGAGACTACCCTGATGAAAAACGCTGTCTTGTCCACCTTTCGCAGCTTTTCCCAGAGACTATCCTGGACAATCCTGGAGCGCTCTGCTGCTTATTCTTCTGGAAGCTGGGAAAGCTGGAAAAGCTGGAAACACACATCGTTGTTCACTAGGGTAGTCTCTGGGAAAAGCCGGGAAAGCTGGAAAAGCTCAAAACACAGCGTGTTTCCCTAGGGTAGTCTCTGGGAAAAGCTGGAAAAGCTGGAACCACATAGCGTAGTTCATGGCAAAGTTGGAAAAGCTGGAAACATACGTCTTCACGAGGGTAGTCTCTGGGAAAAGCTGGAAAAGCTGGAAACTCTGGAAATCACAACGTTTTTCACTAGGGTAGTCTCTGGGAAAAGCTGGAAAAGCTGGAAAAGCTGGAAACGCAACGTTTTTCACTCGGGTAGTCTCTGGAGAAAGCTGGGAAAGCTGGGAAAGCTGGTAAACACAACGCTTTTCATTCGGGTAGTCTCTGGGAAAAGCTGGGAAAGCTGGAAAAGCTGGAAAACATAACGCGTTTCATTCGGGTAGTCTCTGGGAAAAGCTGGGAAAGCTGGAAAAGCTGGAAACCACAGCGTAGGAGGAGGAGGAGGAGGAGGACGACGACGACGACGAGCGAATGATCAAGAAAGGTTTTGCGAGTTTGGTGGTTTGGGTGTGCTGGGGGGGGGGGGGCATATATATATATATATATATATATATATATATATATATATTCTCATACGCACCTATCCGAGGGAGTAGAGCTCAGAGGCGATGAATGCGTACGCGCCGCGTTCGCGATTTTTCTGGCCTCGAGGTTCTGAAAATCGGTGGCACCCCTTACACAAATCGTGACGTCAGGGTCCAAAAACACATGTGAAGTTCAACATTCAAACCTAAAACCTTCAAAAACGCGTTGTAGTTTCAATGATTTGACCACGATTCTCAGAGAATGGCGGTTTCGCATGAGACATCCTCCCAAAATCGAGCCCCGACGTACCTTCTGGTACCCAGACCCCGCCTCGGAGCCTCCTGGGGGCCTACTGGAACCTCCTGGGGCCTCCTGGGGCATTCTGTACCTTCTGGTACCCCATACCCCGCCTCGGAGCCTCCTGAGGGTCTCCTGGAACCTCCTGAGGCCTCCTGCGGCCTCCTGCGGCCTCCTGGAGCCTCTTGGGGCCTCCTGGAGCCTCCTGGGGTCTGCTGGGGCCTCCTGAGGCCGCCTGGGGCCTCCTGGGGCCTCCTGGGGACTCAGAACTACATGCACGCACAGAGACACAAATCACACCCAACACATCACACACTAGACAAACAAAACACACACACACACACAAGACCTACAACGCACAGAAAACACGCACAACACAGAGCACACATCACACACACACACACACACAACATTCACAATCCTGGGGCCTCCTGGAGCCTCTTCTGGTATCCAAATCGGGCCTCCTGAGGCTTCCCGGGGGGCCCTGGTACACACATCGCAAGGTGTGGCAACCCCACTAGCGCATGGTGTCTCCTGCTTCAAACGCCCTGTCAGTTTTTTGTTTGATGTATGAGCCTGGGCACAAAAGTGTCACTTGCATATATATATATATACACACATACGTAGTTGTATACGTAGCTCATACATGTAAACTATATGTGTGTAAATGTATAAATATATACATACATGTATGTATGAATCGTAACTCATCCCTGCGAAATTCCAACATGTAGACCAACATGTGTTTTGAGGAGGCGGAGAAGGAGGAGGAGAAAAAGAAGGAGCGCGCAGCCACCTGACAATCCACCAAGCCTCGGTGTGGAAAGCACGGAACACGAATCTGAAAACGTGCGCCTGTTGCTGCACGGGCGCACGCCTATACGCGTTCATCGACACCGTCGTGCAGGGCCCCCGTTTCAGGCTAAAGCCGTGCGTGGGGACGGGATGCAACCAGAACGAACAAAAACACAACTACTGAATCGATTAGGCATGACAGCAGAAAAACGGCCGGAGGAGGATGGAACCAAGACACAGCCGGGCATACCAGTGGGTGAAGAACAATAAGAGTCTGACGCCCCTGAGTGGGCTGTGAATGACCACGAAACCTAAGAATACAGGGTGAGACAGCTCGAGCGCACGCGAGGCGCATGCGTTCATACAATGAATAGTAAAAGAGGAAGAAAAACATGACGAGAGGGAGCAGGGAGATAGGGTTGACGAGGCCCGCCAAATAAGCAACAACATAAGGGGGAGTGGCGAAAGAGCCAGGAAAAAATGGCGGGGCGAGCACCCGTAGCGGAGTCTCGCAGACAGAGCCGACCCTAAATAATGGCAGTGCGAATGTGGATGCCACCTCCGACGAAGTGGCAGCCGCCGAGTTGGCATCTGGGCCCCGCCTGAGCCGCCAGCCACTCACGAGGCAATCAGCCTCGGTGGCCACGTGGGCACTGGCCAATTGAGAGGCGAGATGAGGAAAGAGGAACTACGCGAGAGGAGGGGAGGAGCGGGCCGCCTACGCAGAGCGTCGCAGAACAGCCTGGACGAGAACGCCCCGACTCGCGACGTGAAGGGGGGGAGCGAAGAGGAGACAGGCAGAGGAGGCAAAATTCTGGCCCACCCCAGCGGGGCTAGCCAGAGCTCCGCCTCCGGGAGGCGGGCGCGGGAGTAAGAGAGGAAAGAGAATATCTTTGAAAGTGCGGGGGATACGCCTTCCCCTAAGCACCAATGGAAATTCCGGCCAGAATGTGGAAAATGTTTTCTGGTCACTTGAGACCTGAGACCATTGATCCCCCACGGCTACGGGGTGGTACGCGTTACCTCCCGCCCCCGAAGTAACCTACTCATGTTGCCACAAGACTCAAACTATACAACGCGTG